ACTTTGTATGTAATAGAGTAACTGAGATCAGGAAAACTACCACCACGGACAGCTGGCGTCATGTTCCTGGATCCCAGAACCCAGCGGACCTTCCATCACGAGGCTGTTCACCACAACAACTGTATGCATCTAAATGGTGGGAGGGCCCCAATTGGCTCTATGAAAACCCCAATTTCTGGCCTCACGAAGTTGTCACTTATAATGAAGCAGAAATTTTTGCTGAGAAGAAGAAAGCTGTTGTAACAAGCTTAGCAAACTCCGAAGCAGTTGAGGGTTCAGTTGAATGGCATTTAAAATATTTCTCGAGTTATCTTAAAACTACTCGTATGATTGGTTGGATATTAAGATTCAAACATAATATCAAACATCCGGAGGATAAACGCATCGGTGAACTGTCCGCTGATGAAATGAATCGAGCAGAAATTTTCATTTGGCAAACTGTACAAGCAGAAAGTTTTTCCAGAGATGACCAGCGCCTGAAAACTTTGCCCGTATTTTGTGATGAATCTGGTGTTGTACGTTTGAAATCCCGAGAAGCAAATCGTGAAGACACCGAACTTTTTCGCATGCCGATAGTATTGCCATCTCATCATTTTGTGATAGAGACGCTAGTTTTTGAAACCCATAAGAAATGTTGTCATGTCGGAGTCCAGGGTTTATTAAGCTTGCTGAGACAGAAATATTGGATATTGGGCGGACGGAGGTACATTAAGAGTGTAATTTCCAAATGTATAGTGTGTCGGAGACATGAATCTAAAAGTGGCCAAGTCCAGAGCCCACCTCTACCTGCAGACCGAGTCAAAGATGCGTCAGCTTTTGAAATCACTGGTGTGGACTTCGCTGGTCCATTATATTTAAAGACGGGTGAAAAGGTCTGGATTTGCATTTTCACATGTGCCGTTTATCGAGCAGTGCACCTGGAACTAGCTGGTTCATTGTCAACCGAGTGTTTTTTGAAAACTCTCAGGAGATTTGTTGCTCGAAGAGGAAGACCGAAAGTAGTTTACAGCGACAACGGAACGAACTTCGTCGGTACCAATAATCTATTCAAGAAACTACAGTGGAATGAGGTAGAAAAATATGCAGCCGTGGAGCGGATAACGTGGCGTTTTAACCCGCCAACTGCAGCTTGGTGGGGCGGATTCTGGGAGCGCCTGATAGGGATCCTCAAAAGATTATTGCGGAAAGTTCTTGGAAGGGCAGCGCTCACTTATGAAGACTTACTGACCGTACTATGTGATTGTGAGCAGATAATTAACTCCCGCCCTCTGACGTATGTTTCGGAAGACGCTAACGAATTGGTACCACTGACACCAGTCATGTTTACCCGCGACCTGTCTGAAGGTACTTTGCCTGAGTCTGAAGTGATAGACCAGTCATCATTGTGTCGGAAAGTGAGACGACTGCAGAAGGTACGTGACGACTTAAGACTGAGATTTCGCAATGAATATCTCGGACAGCTTCAAAACACCACTAATGCTAAGGCATCTACACAAGTCAAGGTTGGCGAAATTGTGTTGGTCGGCAATGATAATAGTAAAAGAATTGACTGGCCACTTGGACGGATCACCGAAGTTCTGCAGGGCAAAGATGGTGCAGTACGTTTAGTGCGTGTCTCTACTGAAAATGGAATGTTGCTTCGCCCTGTGCAGAGAGTGTATACCTTAGAGGTGGCTGGGGCATCTGTAGAAATGGGGAACGAGTCATCAAAGGCAGAAGTGGAAACCCCTTCATCGAAAGAAACCAGAAGTGTGAAGCCATCAATCGCGAACGGGAGTGTTAAAAGCAGAGCACCCGAATCGGAAGTGAGTGAATCGTATTCCGCGGAAAACGGGAGTGTTAAAAGCAGAGTACCCGCCGTAATAACCACGCGACGAGGCCGAGTGACAAAGTTACCAGCACGGTATATGGACTAGTTAGAGGACTGTGTAAAATGTTCTGTTTTTTATTTTGTAATGAGAAACATATTTAAGTAGTTTTAGTTTCTCAGGTGGGAGAATGTCGAAACCCACAGAACATTTAAGTATTTATTTTACAAGCTGGCAGCAGCGTATTTTGAAGGGCGCGATTCCTAGTTGTTGTTTTGTCAGTTGCCTATAGGTAGGTTGCTGCTAAGCTTTATTTTTTATCTTGTTTTAACACACGCAATTATTGAGTTGCCTCCTTTAATTTTGTATTTTATTGTTGTTGTTGTTGTTGTTGTTGTTCTGTCAATGGCTTTGCTACTAGGCAATTGCCAGCTCGATTCCTTAGTGTCCACGGGATGTCTGGCTCGAAACCATGTCGTGGCCACTGAACTGTTGAAAATTGAGCTACAATACTATATAGATTATTATTAGCAAACTTTTTGTGATTTTACTGGGTAGTCTGGGTACATGTAGAGCAATTAATAGACATAACAACAGAGGTTCAATGGTAGCACATCAAAACACGAAAACTGGAAGATCTGGAAATAGGGAAACATTAAGTTGAGCATTACAGTTTTATTTTGTTATGATTGAGAAAGTTCATTATGATACAACTTGCTGCTTCATTCATAGAAGACAGTATGGTGTAAATTGTCATGGGAGTACTGAATCCTAACTCACGGAACTCTTTATACATATCGACGCCCTGTATGAAGTTAATAGGACATTCAAATATAATGTGATTCAGGTTCTCTACCTGTCCACACTCACATAAGGGGTCATCTTTTATATTAATTTTATAGAGGTGCTCTCCGGTTAAACAGTGTCCGATGCGCATTCGTATTATGGTGGTAATATGTCTACGATTTTTGTAGGGGAAATCAGCATACCATTTCTTTTGGCAAAATTCTGACTGTACCTTACAGTATTGATAATTTTTATTTTTTGCCGAAATTCTCCACTGATCCTTATACTCAGTGTAGAGTTTTTGTTTAATACTATTATATACATCTTTAATGTCCAACAACATTTGTTTTGGAACGTTTAAAATTCTGCCAATATTAGCAAGTTTGTCCACAGTCTCATTTTCCTGAATACCCGAATGTCCCGGGATCCAGGCCAGTCTGAAATCGAAACAAAAATGTGGAACGCTTCACGATTTTGCGTGTCATCCTTGCGCAGGGGCCATGCTAATCTTCTCTGTATCGTTCCAATTTTAGTATATGTACCGCCGAAGCGAGTACTGTATTTTATTGTTGCTAGTTGGAATTGTATAACATAACCTTAAAAAGAGAAAAGGGGGGAACAGTTTAGTATCCATGTTGTTTTTAGAAGCTTGGTTTTTGCTATTGTTAAAACTTTGGCGTGTACGGTTTAAATAAAACAATCCTGTAATAAATTTCGATGTTCAATAAATGCTTTTTCGAGTAATATTTTCGTGGTGATTATCTTGGGACGGGTAGTTCTTTGGGGATCCCACAAACAGGTTTTCATCATATTTTACCAATAACTCAAAAATATATCGCGAGAGACGACGATTCTTTATTGTACATATTACTCCAAAGCCTGGATTACCTACTGCAAACCTCTTGATAATAACACAAGAATATGTTCTGACCTTCTACAATACCCAATAGACAGTGATGCCATTTGCGAAGCCCAACTCCTGAAGTCAACAAGAACACTTCCCAAGACTTGCCAAACCTCAATCTGACTCGCTAGTGACTACAACGTGCAAGAGCTAGACATAAACTACTGGCTCATAACATTATCATCGTCCCTTCCAATCACTATCAGATGTGATGGCAAAAACAGTGTGACAGAAACAATCAGCACCAACACAGTGCTCAAGCTTCAACCAACCTGCAATGCCTTAGTAGGAAACTCCAGAATTCATGCTAGGAATCTAGCAGAAAAATACAGAAACGTCACCTATAAAAGCCATCCAGTGGAAATTCCCTATGATTGCTGCAAACACCTGCCTGTGGATCTTCATGTACCAGATTTGAAACCACTCCAACTATCTAAAATCAACAAAGCATAGCATAGACTAAACCAATTTTCCGATGAACTGGATAAACTGATCCAAGAACCATTTGTATCAAGACACAGCCGGTTCACCTACTTCATTATCGTACTAATAGCAGCACTTGTAATCATTTACATTTGTTGTAAGTGTCGACGAAAGGCACCTCCCAAACCTAGCCCTATTGACGAAGTCGAACCACAACCGTCGAAGTCTCATTAACGCCTTCAAATAGGCAACAACCTTAGAAAGCTTTTACCGAAACGAAGAAACACCGTTCATTCAAATCTACCCTCAGAACAAGAGATGACCAGTCTACACAACCGAGTTGGTCTTTGAAAAAATTTTTGCAAAGCACCAACTTTTTACTTAATGGGGGAGCTGTTATATGGATTTCACGACTACATTGACCTCAAGACGCGTTTCATCACCATAGTGGTACAAAGTATCACAAAGTCTAGATACTACTTCAGCAATCCTGTGAGAACATGTCACGCCAAGAACTCTGGTCCATGGTCGCAACGTTCCCATAGAAACAGCAAGATCATTGTCATTGATGAGTTAATGTCCGATTTTATTTGTATTGTATTGTATTTTAAAATAAATTAGTGTTTTTTTTTAAATTAATTTCAAGAGTTTCTGAGATAACATGTATATCAAATTGACCTTAATTAATTTTCGTTGGCGGAAATGCGCTTCTCCTGAAAAATCGTTGCTGAGAATCGGGCGCTAACCTTCACACGCGTTGAATAATCAAGAGTTGAATCCAGAAACGCCTCATTCAACTTTTGGTTGTTAATTTTTTGGTTCACTTTGAACCAATCAAGTCAAGAGTTGAATCCAAAAAACGCTTCATTCAATAGTTAACTTTGGTACATCTTGATTTTGACAAGATCCAATCAAGAGCCAAGAATAATCAAAAATTGAATCCAATTAGCTATTCCCGGCCACTTTGATACTGAAAACATCCAATAAAAAGCCGGGAATAATTAAGAGTTGAATTCAAAAATACTGCATTCAACTGATTAATAATTAGTTTGACCCAATAATCAAAAAAATTGATTCAGGAGACAGTGAAATGCAACAGGGCTCGTCTCGTAGGCGCCGTAGTTGAGCCTCAAACTTATAAAGGCGAAAAATTCTTTAAAGAGCATCCAGTAAAGTTGCTTTTATCAGGCAGATACACTAGTGTACCTTTATTAATGGGCTATAATTCAGGAGATGGTAAAAATACTATATTTAATAAACAAATTGCATTATTGAAACAAATCCTATATAGGTATGATAGTTGATGGTATGGTGGCTCCGGAAATGAATTACATTTATTGGACAGATAAAGAGCACAATGTACCAGGATTATTGAATCTACCAAAAGGCAGTTTGCTATCTAAACAATTAGGCGAAGAAATTGTTAAGTTTTATTTTGGCAAAGGCCCTTACTCAAGAGAGACGCACCTTAAACAATTTTACGATGTAAGTAATTTTTAAAACAACAAACTTATAATATTAATAATTTTTATAATATAGATAACTACAGATAATAGTTTTCTTCGAGGCATTTTTAGTTCAATAAAGCACCATCGCAGAACCTCAAACGCCCCGATTTATATGTACAGACTTTCGCTTGAATCCGATTTGTGCTTCTACAAAAACATTATCCAAATTGAACTTCCAGGCGTTTGCCATGTAGACGAAATGGGGTACCTTTTTACTACTTTATTTACAGAAACTCCTTCAAAAGGTACAATTGAAGACATTACTCAAAGAAAAATGTGCCGCATGTGGGCCAATTTTGCCCGCTATGGTAACCCAACTCCGTTCAAAGATGCTTTGTTGGGTATTATTTGGGAACCTGTTGTGAATCCTAATAAGGTGGCTTTTTTGGATATTGGGGATTGTTTGAAGATTGAATACAATCCGGAAGAGGAAAGGATGACGTTTTGGGATAGGATTTATTCCAGTGGCAAACTAGAATCAAAATTGTAATGTTGGAAGTATTAATATATTTGCAAATATGTTTACATTATTATAATAATTAATATTATTTCTAGGGCTCTAAAGCTTGTAACTAAAAACAACTGTACACAAAATTATAACAAAAACATAACTCTTATCAAGAAAAAGTTTTTCACCCATTTTTGGTCTCTTAAGAACTAGAAGTTCAAAAGAGACAAAAAGCTTATTTAATCTCTACGTCTTATAACAATCATTATTATTAAATAAAGCCTTTTATACTTCATACTCTTATATTTTATTTATAGGAAAAAGAGAATTTGTCTCGAAGATAAATTCCCTTTTCACCCACTACTCTATTATTTGTGTGAATTAAAAATCTATTGCGTTTTGTGTGTACAATAACTCTAAGTTTTGTCCTGAGGAAATTTGTATTTATTTTATAGATTTTTCTTTACAAATAATCGAGTGTTTTTTTTTTTTAATATAACTCTTGACATTGAATTTGTACCATTTCGAGAACAGCGCTATTGTGTTTTCAATCAAAAAATAGGTTCTTATTCCTTTTTCGATAATAACGGCCCGTAATCTAAGTTATAAATAACGACAACAATATTTTTGCCATCCAAACCTTATTTACATTATTTTTATTACACAATTTTTAACAGAGCTTTTTCATTTAGGCCCAAGAAAAATTGTCGGAATTTCAACTTCTTATAATACTAAGGTGAATATTTTTGCGTGCAGTAATTAAATGGATTTTGTTGACTCTTTGGCCTCCAAAAAGCAGCTGAATTCTGAAGAATAATAATTGAATTTGTTGATTAGTTGTTGGGGAAAGTTTCCAATGAAAACATGAGTTTCCTCCAAACAAATCCCAGGAAAGTTTTCAGTATTAGTATTTAAAAAGCGAATCATAAGTTTTGGAATCTTTAAAGTTCCAATTTTGCAGTACCTTTTAAATCTTTAAAGTTCTATTAAAGACTTTTAAATTTTTGGAGTTTCAAAGTTTTTAGTCTTTGAAAAACATTCTCTAGTCTTTAATAATTATTCTTGATAGTTTCATAGTCTTTGTTCAATTCCTGCAAATATTCTTGAAGTTTTCAGAACTTTTGTGTCTTATTTTTGAATCTTTAGTCCTAAATATTGATCCTTAAAGACTTTGAAAGTTTTTAATGTTAAGTGTAAAGTCTTTATAATCAGAATACATGAAATATTAGACTTCAGTGTAAGTTTAAATTCTTAAACATCTTGACAGGCTTTAATACTTCTCTAATTCAATTTCTGATCTATGAAGATCAGAAATGTCTTTTGTAAACTGCTCTGACTCAATGTTGAATCTTGAATGATCACAAATCAGATTTTCCTAAGTAGTGATAGTTTGGCTGTTCTACGCCCTTCGTCCTCCGGAGGAGATTTATCAGGCGAAAAGCAGACCCGACCCGATACAGCTTTAAGACTGACCCATAGAAATTCAACTTTGGACAGGGCCGATACAACTTTAGACAGGTCTGTATGTGCAGGTCTGTATACAGACCTGTGTCTGTCTGTATTAAGTTTTAGACAGGTTTGTGTATACAGACCTGTCTCTAAATCTGTGTATACAGACCTGTCTCTAGATCTGCACCTATATCTGACCTGCCTAAAGCTGTATCATAACTGTCCAAAACTGTATCAGAACTAATATCTGTATACAGACCTGTCTAAAGCTGTCTACAAATCTGTCCTAAGCTGAAATCCTATGAGTCAGTCTAAAAGCTGTATCAGGTCGGGTCTGTTTTTCTACTGATAAATCTCCTCCGGAGGACGGAGGGCGTAGAACTGTCAAATTATCACTACTTTCCTACTTATCTAGTTTGATGTTGAGTAGGGAATAGGATTTTCATGCATCTCTAGGAGAAATTTTTGATCTAGGAAAGTTGGTTAACATGTTTTCAACCTTCTACAGTAGAGCTTCAGCTCTAAGTGTCAAATTATCAGTAGACGGTTATTTAGTTTAGCTGTTGGTTAACGAATAATTATCCTTGGTTAACTGATAGCTAAACTAGATAAACGTCCACTGATAAACCGGTTCTAAGATAGTCAAAAATTAATTTTTTAATTCTAGAATAGGGAACTTGCATGAAAAATTAAATTGATTATTGTTTTTTTGCAAAACTGTAGGAAATCGAAAAAAAATCGATACGTATTTTTTTATTTTGTCCAAATATGATTATTTCGAAAGTTATACAAATATTAGGTTTTGTATTTACAGGGTGTTACACGAACATCGAAACACCGTTTCGTTTGCACTCCTTCGCACTGGACTTGAACTTTCTGAAAGAGCTGGCCAACTGAGTGGAGTTTGGAAGTAAAGGTACGGTGAAAAAATATCCCGAGGCGTTTTGGGGTATTTTAAGTCCGTGTGCAGTTCACATCCGGTAGAAGTGAAACCTTCATTGATTTACATACATTACACACATACTAACATACATACGTACAACGCTTGGTATACAAGAGTGGGGAGGCTACGAAGCACCGCACAAAGAGGAGACGAAAAATAGGAATCGCTGTACTGTATTGTATCTCATTCTCTGGCAGGGTAAATCCCATAGATTTATATGTTTGTCTTTTTTTAGTGTCGCTTTTTCGTTTCATCAAGTCTCAAATCACTCCCAACGATTCTAAAGAAGTTTTCACTTCAAAAATAAAGAATATGTGTGCAGTTCACATCCGGTAAAAGTGAAACCTTCATTGAACTACATACATTACACACATACTAACATACATACGTACAACGCTTGGTATACAAGAGTGGGGAGGCTACGAAGCACCGCACAAAGAGGAGACGAAGAATAGGAAGCGCTGTACAACTGTATTCTATCTTATTCTCTCGCAGGGTAAATCCCATGGATTTATATGTTTGTCTTTTTTTAGTGTCGCTTTTTCGTTTCATCAAGTCTCAAATCACTCCCAACGATTCTAAAGAAGTTTTCACTTCAAAAATAAAGAATATGTGTGCAGTTCACATCCGATAAAAGTGAAACCTTCATTGAACTACATACATTACACACATACTAACATACATACGTACAACGCTTGGTATACAAGAGTGGGGAGGCTACGAAGCACCGCACAAAGAGGAGACGAAGAATAGGAATCGCTGTACTGTATTGTATCTCATTCTCTCGCAGGGTAAATCCCATAGATTTATATGTTTGTCTCTTTTTAGTGTCGCTTTTTCGTTTCATCAAGTCTCAAATCACTCCCAACGATTCTAAAGAAGTTTTCACTTCAAAAACGCTCCGACACGTCAATTTTCTATTTAAAGGGAAAACTTTTTGATCCCATCGGTATTTCGCTAGGGTGCAACCCCTGGGTGGGGTGACTTTCACCACTCTTTTTTAGATAGGGAAGATGGGTCGAGTGGTACCTTGTTTTAAAGGTATTTCAATTCTCGACACAGCTGTGTACTTTTTTTGAAAATCGAATGATTACTTCTCAAGATATCCACTGTCAAAGTTGTCATGGGCAAAATAGGAAACAATCTTCTGGCCCTGTTATTCTCAAATTAACACTTTCCTGAAGTTTCCTCTCGGATACGTCAATTTAATTTTTTTGTGTGCTTCCGAAAAAATTGGAATTGGCGAGTCCGAAAGGAAAGACAGGAAAGTGTTAATTTGAGAATAACAGGGCCAGAAGATTGTTTCTTATCTTATGTGGCCTATGGCAACTTTGACCGTAAATATCTTGAGAACTAATCATCCAGTTTTTAAAAAAAGTACACAGTTGTGACGAGAATTAAAATACCTTTGAAACAAGGTACCATTCGACCCATCTTCCCTATCTAAAAAAGAGGGGCGAAAGTCACCCCACCCAGGGAGTGCACCCTAGCGAAATACCGATGGAGTCAAAAAGTTTCCTCCTTGACGTGTCCGAGCATGTTCGTGAAACACCCTGTATAGATATACTGAGCATGTGCTACGTCATAAAGTTATATGATTAGTGACGTCATAGGCTCATTTCATAGTGTTGTCTCTCTGTCAATTTTTGACTAAGAAGAAAAAGATAAAACATGTGTTGACTTATTTTTTAACGGTATCAGCGATAAAAAAAATTGATGCAAGTACCTTATTATCACAAATTAAGTTCTATACATCTTAAGTTCAATTTCGGTTTTGGTAGAGCCGATTATGAGACCTCCAAGGTTGAATTTTAGCTCCAAAAAAAATTCAATAATAACCTCACAGTGGTAATGTTCCCGGCTTTTGATTGGCTTAAATTTTAGGAAATTTCCAGCTTTTGATTTGCTTTAAAATTCAATTTTCAAATACTCCCGGTTCTTGATTGGCTCAATTTGACGTTTCAATATTCAATGTTCGAATATTCCCGGTTCTTGATTGGTTTTAGGATGCCCGACTTTTGATTGACTTAGAAATTGAATTTTTAAACATTCCTGGCTCTTGATTGGCTTGGAAATTCAATTTTTGAAAATCCAAATTAAGCCAATCGAGAGCCGGGAATATTTGAAAATTGATTTTTGAAGCAAATCCAGAGCTGGGAATTTCCAAAAATTTACCTTCAGGCCAATCAAAAGCCGGGAAAATTAAAAATAATTGATTTTAATTGAATTTTAAAACGTCAAATTAAGCCAATCAAGAGCCGGGAATATTTGAAAATTGAATTTTAAAGCAAATCAAAAGTCGGGGACTTCCAAGCCATCTTGTTAGTTCCAGTTCAATTTAAGTTCAGCTAAGTAATAGGATTTTTGAAGTTGAATTTAAGCTTTAGAGGAGACAAAATTGACCTTTGAAGTTCAACTTTGAATGTAGAATAGTGAAAAATTAGAATTCTCAACAACTCTAATTCAATTTTATTGATGGAGCCCAAAATAGGATTTTAAAACTTCTCTAGGCTCTAGGAGTGTCAGTTACTGAAGTTGAAAATAAGCTCTAAAATAATCAAACATGAACTGTTTAAGCCGCTAGGGCTCAACTTTAACTCTAGAATTATCACAAATTACATTATTTCTAGTTGAATCTCGGCTCTAGGAGTTCCAGGAATAGAATTTTTACGCGTCTAGATCAGCATTAGCTCTGCATAAGACTTTTTAAAATATCCTCAACAGAAATTCTTTCCAAAAGTTTTCAGAAAAATTCCTGGGAATTTTTCAAAGATTAATCTTCTCTCCCATTCTTCTAGCTTTGATGCAGTAAATAAACACAAAATCAATTATTTTTGTCAACTTATTAGCTGCTCCTTAGGGGCACTCTCTAAACTTAAAACCGATTCTATTTCAGTCTTGTTTTACATGAAAAAAATTAAAGACACATGAAACACTTTCTTGAAAGGTCAAAAATACAATCCTCTTAAAAACTAACTTACTCGCTACGATTTTTAAGTAAAAATATTAGGTAAATTTGTACGAAAGGTGAACCATATTATGACGGTGAACAAACAAAAAAAAAAAACTGAAGCCTTATGTTTATATGTCAAATACGCTAGGAACTTACCATGAAAAAAACCATTCATACAAAAATGTATCAATACATTATCATCTGTCTTTTATGCAACACTGTCAAATTTTGGCACATTAATTTACAAAAAAAAAGATTTCATCGGACTTTGTATTGAACAATGGAAGATTCAAAGAGAAATAAATTCGTTTTTGTTTTACTATTATTATCAGTTAGGTATTGTAAAAAAATAATTTATTGGAATGAATTATTGTTTGTGGTCAGAGGGGGGGATTTATCTTTTTTTGAGGCAGTGAAATCCTGTATCTATAATAGTTTCATGCATACTCGTCAAAATTTAACTAAGAAAAAAATCGTCCCTTATGTAATACTCCTATAAAAGATCACCGGAAAGGGATTTTTTTTAAAAATAATTAGTAATAGTCTCAGTCTCACGCGTTCATTTAAATCAATCCATTCATACATATTTATTCCCGTAGAGGATCCTGATTTGGTGTAGAGCTGAAAACTTTAATCAACAATCTCAAATTGTAATAAGATTTTATTTTTATTTACCTCGTCTACATTTTGAGCTCCTCGGCCGCCCTAAAGTTCGACAAAGTCTTCTTTATTCTGAGCGCGGTGAGCCGAGCGGTGGCATTATGATACCAACACTCCTTCATCAGTTTGCACATGACGTGTAGAGCTTCGCACGATTGCCAGCGATTCGGGATGTTGGGCCTTTGCCTCTCAAAGCACACCACCCTGAAATGGACCAATAATATCGTTAATTGACTGAGTTTTTCACAGGAAAAATGTTATAGTTTGGCATAAAGAGCTCTTAACCTTCCACTTTTCACTAAATTTGAAAATTTCTGGAGGTTGATTTTTAAGAATTTCCCATGTCGTAGTTTTTCACAGAAAATATATGAAAGTTTACCATAATGAGCTCCTAACCTTCCACTTTTCACTACAAAAATTTGAAAATGTTCACTTCAGTAGTTTTCCAAAAAAGTATGGAAAAGTAAGGAGATGTATTTGCTTCAATTTACCTTTTGGAGGTTGATTTTTAAGAATTTTCCATGCCGTAATTTTTCACAGAAAATATATGAAAGTTTGGCATAATGAGCTCCTAACCTTCCACTTTTCACTACAAAAATTTGAAACTGTTCGTTTGAGTAGTTTTCTAAAAAAGTATGGAAAAGTAAGGAGATACATTTGCTTTATTTTACCTTTTGAAGGTTGGTTTCTAAGAATTTCCCATGTCGTAGTTTTTCAAAGAAAATATATGAAAGTTTGGCATAATGAGCTCCTAACATTCCACTTTTAACTACAAAAATTTGAAAATGTTCACTTCAGTAGTTTTCCAAAAAAGTATGGAAAAGTAAGGATATACATTTGCTTTATTTTACCTTTTAGAGGTTGATTTTTAAGAATTTCCCATGTCGTAGTTTTTCACAGAAAAAATATGAAAGTTTGGCATAATGAGCTCGTAACCTTCCACTTTTCACTGCAAAAATTTGAAAATGTTCGCCTCAGTAATTTTCCAAAAAAGTATGGAAAAGTAAGGATATACATTTGCTTTATTTTACCTTTTGGAGGTTGATTTTTAAGAATTTCCTGTCGTAGTTTTTCACAAAAAAAATATGAAAGTTTGGCATAATGAGCTCCTAACCTTCCACTTTTCATTACAAAAATTTGAAAATGTTCGCTTCAGTAGTTTTCCAGAAAAGTATGGAAAAGTAAGGAGATGCATTTGCTTTATTTTACCTTTTGGAGGTTGATTTTTGAGAATTTCCCATGTTGTAGTTTTTCACAGAAAAAAAATATGAAAGTTTGGCATAATGGACTCCTAACCTTCTACTTTTCACTACAAAAATTTGAAAATGTTCGCTCCAGTAGTTTTCCAAAAAAGTATGGAAAAGCAAGGAGATGCATTTGCTTTATTTTACCTTTTGGAGGTTGATTTTTAGGAATTTCCCATGTCATAGTTTTTCACAGACAAAATATGAAAGTTTGGCATAATGAGCCCCTAACCTGCTTCCACTTATCACTACAAAAGTTTGAAAATTTTCGGTTCAATAGTTTGCCAGAAAAGTAGGAAAATGTAAGAAGATGCATTTGTCCTATTTTGCCTTTTGTAGGTTGATTTTCGAGAATTTTCCAGATCGTAGTTTTTCACAGTAAAAATGGAAAATTTTGGCATAATGAGCTCTCAACCTTCCACTTTTTACTACAAAAATTTAAAAATTTTTGCTGAGTAGTTTACCAGAAAAGTATGGAAATATAGGAAGATGCATTTGCTTTATTTTGCCTTCTGGAGGTTGATTTTTAAGAATTTTCCATGTCGTAGTTTTTCAAAGAAAAAATATATGAAAATTTGGCATAATGAGCTCCTAACCTGCCACTTTTCACTACAAAAATTTGAAAATGTTCGCTTCAGTAGTTTTCCAAAAAAGTATGGAAAAGTAAGGAGATGCATTTGCTTTATTTCACCTTTTGGAGGTTGATTTTTAAGAATTTCCCATGTCGTAGTTTTTAACAGAAAAAATATAAAAATTTGGCATAATGAGCTCTTAACCTTCCACGTAAAAATATGATATAAAGAATAATAATTACCGTCTCATTTCTTCAATGGTAGGATCCGAAGGTACAGCATCAAAGAAGGGCAACTGGTATTCATCGTAGATACCTCCGACGTTACATCTACGAGCAACTTCCCAAAATATCAGCCCCAAAGCGTACACGTCGGCCCGTTTAAACGAATCAAACTGATCAATATTCATAGTTTCGTCCAAAACTTCAGGAGCCATGTACCGTTTGGTGCCCACCCGATTATTCAACGGAATATCCACAGTATCAGTAGTGACATCGTGCCTAACTGCAAGTCCAAGATCCCCAATGGCACAAGTCCCATTGGACTTGACCAAGATATTTTTGGATTTCAAATCGCGATGCGCGATCGCAGGCTTGCCTTGCGTACCCATAATGTCCATGTGCAAATGGGCCAAGCCTGTGGCTATGGACAAAGCCATCCGGATCATACTTGTAGTATCCAAAGTGTTCATGGCCAGAAAATCAAAAAGGGAGCCATGTTCGTGGTAGTCGGTTATTAGCCACAATTGCGTCCAAGTGCCGTTGTCCTTGTTATCGGCTGCGATGAATCCGAGGATGTTTTCGTGCCGCAGCATTACGGTTTGGTAGATTTCGGCTTCGCGAAACCACGATCTTTCTTCGCGCGAGCTGAAGATTTTCACGGCGACATTTTCGCCTCGCCACCTGCCGCGCCACACTTCGCCGAATCTGCCCTGGCCGATTATGTCGATCAGTTGGATTTGACGGGCTATCGAACGTTGGACCAGCAATGGTAGACCTAATATGAAAATAGATTGTTATCAAAAAATGCTCTATTTGGCTGTCTAGTTATAGTTTTATAGCACAGCTAACTATCTAAAATAGTATATTAAAGTATAAGTGGATATTGAGGTCTTTAAAACACGCGCGATTTTTTGAGCACGACGGCGCAGCCGGAGTGCTCGAAATAGAGCAAGTGTTTTAAAGACCAGTTATCCACGAATACAGTGACTCTATTACCACAGTGGCGACAATTGCTGTCTTATTTTTGATTGGTTCTAAAATCCCATATATTTATATTGAAAACGCCGCCATCTTGTTCCCAACCTCTTGTTACTTTTAAATATGAATATATGGGATTTAGGTGAACATCCATCATAAATCATGAAAAACGTTATTTGATGAACCTAATACTGGTCATCAAATACGTCGATTTCAATTTTTTATGATAGATGTCCATTTAAATCCTATATATTATTATTTAAAAGCAACAAGCGGTTGGGAACAAGATGGCGGCGGGACCTCTATTGTCGCCACTGTATGTAAAGGTTTATTTAGCCACTGTATCCACGAATACTTTACACTATTTTTTTTTATTGGTACCTATACGTTCAAATCATAAATTACTAATAATTGTAGAATGCTAAATTCGTGCTTGACACTTGTTATATTTTATTTGACGTTATCTACCAGTACCTATTCCTGACAAATAAATAATTAAAAAGTTGACATTTAAGACCTTTCTCAGGTTGTTGGTTGTTGATGTTGTCATTGGTTACTTTAAAACACGCGCGTTTTTCAATGTTGGATTTAAACACGCTGGAGAGTACTTTAGGGTCAAATTTATAGTCATTCCTTGAAGGCGTCCTCAAGGCTTCCTTACTGAAGGCTGCCTTAAGGAGTCCTTAGCTTCTTCGTTTTATAGTCGCTCCCTTCACTGAGACTTCCTTAAGGAAAGATTACATATGGCAACTGTGTAATCAAATGCTTTTTTGACAGAAAGGATAGGTTATACGACCTGTCAAGAACGGCGGCTGTCAAAAGTTAGCCAGGGCAGGCGAATGTTGAAGACAAGGTGCGCAAAAATATGTGTAAAATACCTGCATTTTGTTGTGTAGTGAAATCAATGACCTATAGTGAAATGTAGTAGTAGGGGAGAACGCGACAACCTTAAATTTTATAAAATACCATCGGAACTGAATCGAGAACGAGAACATCCTGATAAAGTTTAACAAAACGAATTATCAAAAATCAGAAGATAACGTAGTTGGGTTAAATGCAATCAAACGTGAAGATTTAACTGGCAGTAAATTAAAATATGCTGTAGTTTGTTCAAGATGTATATTAGTACTTATTATTGAATATTAATACTTTTAGAGCAAATATTAATAATATTATTATTAAATGTATATTATTGACGCGTGTTCGATTGTGCGACACTTGTGTGACACAATCGAATTGTATGCTCTGGCTGAATTTTTGTTGTTGAGATGCTCTCTAAAATCAGAAATGAGTGAAAAAAAGTATCTTACTATTCTTACTCCCACCAAGAAAAAGTATTGTTAATAAACTTAATGGAAAAATATAAATCTGCTATTGAAAATAAAAAAACGCATCAGCAAAGGGAGGCTCAAGGTAGCTTTAGACCTACCTTGGATTTAAGGGATCCTTGAGGCTTCCTTAACCGACTACAAAATAGGATTTTACTTGAAGGATGCCTCAAGGTCTAAAGAAGCCTCAAGGAACGACTATAAATTCGACCCTTAAATAAGTGAAATAGGTTATCAATTAAAAAAAAAGCTTGTTCAAAAACATGTGAGTTCAAATCTGCTTAGATATTGAATTTAGATCATCTACAACTGAGTCTTTTAGCTATACAGTGTGTTTCAAAAGTCTGGGCTGGGAATGGTCAAACATTTCCATAGCGACTTGAGTTGCCAAATTTACCGGTTTTCAGATAATGTAGGTAACTTCGTTTTTTTTTTAAATAGGAATACCACTTCTTTTTCATTGCAATAAATTTGGCGCTCTATTGTTATTAAATCCTCTTGATATCATGTTCCACTTGTACACGATTTTTGGAATATTGCAACACAGCCTTTTTGTTCAAAAGTCTGGGAACGGTCAAATATTTCCAGAGCGGCTTGAAATAGAATTACGAAATTTTCCGCATGTGGGTAATTAATGATGCCCAATTCAATGATGATATCGAGAATGTTGCCACGATTACAGGTTTTCAGATAATGTAGGTAACTTCGGTTTTTTTTTTATAGAAATACCACCTTATTTTTAATGCAATTTTGGTACTCCATTGTAAATGAAACCTCCTGATTTCAAATCCCCATTTCAAGCGGTTTTTGAAATGTGGCAACACAGACTTTTTGTTCAAAAGTTCGAGAACGGTGGAGTATTTTGACAAAGGCTTAAAATAGGATATTCAAAATTTGATGAAGAGAGGTTATTGTGATGCCCAATTCAATGATGGCATCAACAAATATCAAAATATCGATACGCTGGGATTCACTCAGTTCGAAATTCATTTTGACAAAACTTTGAAGGAACTTGACACATCTGATAATCACCTCTACCACTGGAGAATAAACAAATGAATATCTAAATTTTTAGTTATTGAGCGTACGTGTATTCTTTCATGCTATTGTTTTGACAAGTTGTCAAGCAATACAGGGAGTATCAGGTATGAGTACAAATATTTTAACATGAGATAATATGACCTATTTCAAGCTAAGACTGTCTTATTAAGGCTATTAATCATGAGTCAATTCTTAGTATTTTCGGAATTATCGCAGAATTTAAAAAAATGTTAACAACGTGACGACATTGTAGAGATAATCTCTACCAGGATATTAATCTAAATAAAACTGGTAAACTCTATTTTTTTGCAAGCATTTCATTCATTTACACCTGTTTATGTTTTGGTTTGTTATTCGCTTTCAAATAATGTTAATAATAATTTGCATTTTTATCTCTTTTCTAGTGGAAATAAAAAATGTGCCATTTTATTAAGTTGTGAATTGCACTCAATGACATTTTTGCACTGAACATTCAAGAGAAGAAATTTTACACACTTACACTTCCCATATCACGCATTCTTTGTGAAACGGGCACAATGTTCTTTCATCAGATAGGTGCCCTTCTAATGGAAAATCTTTCCCTGTAAATTCTGGCGGCTAAATGAGTATTTTGCAATGATTCTGCCTTAACAAGTATCTGCATATTCGACGTTTGAGAACACTTTATTTTCAACCACCTATTATTTTTATGCTATGTTGCCAAATGCTTAGATACCGAATTACGAGTGAAGGTGTCATGTTTTTTCAATTTTTAATTATTGTTTTAATTTAATTAATTAAATAAATTAATTTTTTTTTTGATGTCATAATGATTAAAATTTTCTTTATCTTCCTATTATTTGTCAAAAATTTTCATAACTTTAAAGATCTTTTTATTAAAAATGATTGAGTTTCCACGTTATATTATAAAAACCTTTTTTGTTCAAACTTTTGTAATCACACCTGATACACCCTGTATAAAATATCAATTTATACTCGACAACCAGTTTTTTTAGTATCATTTTTGCCGGTATTATTAAAAGAGATAAATAAAATATTTTCCTGGGGTAATACTTTCTCAAATCTCGAATTGACCCCCAGAAAATATAATCTTACTTTCAGTCGTTTTAAACATTTGACCGTTCCTAGACTTTTGAACAAAAAGGCTGTGTTGCAATATTCCAGAAACCGTGTAAAATAGGGACATGATATCAAGATGTTTTAATAACAATAAAGCGCCGAATTTATTGCAATGAAAATAAAGTGGTATCCCTATTAAAAAAAAAACGAAACTACCTACATTATCTGCAAACCGGTAAACTTGGCATCATTGTCCATATTATCATTGAATCGTGCATCATTAATTACCCTTCTGCAGAAAATTTCGTAATTCTATTTCAAGCCGCTCTGGGAATATTTGACCGTTCCTCAGATTTTGAACAAAAAGGCTACTGCCATATTTCAGAAAGCGTGTGAAATAGGGATATGATATCACGAGGTTTCAATAACAATAAAGCGCCGAATTTATTGCAATGAAAATGAAGTAATATTTCTATTTAAAAAAAAACGATTTTTCCTACATTATTTGAAAACCGGTAAACTTGGCAACAATGTCGATGTCATCATTAATTACCCATATGCAGAAAATTTCGTAGTTCTATTTCAAGCCGCTCTGGAAATATTTGAGCGTTCCCAGACTTTTGAACAAAAAGGCTGTGTTGCAATATTTCAGAAACCGTGTAAAATGAGAACATGATATCAAGAGGTTTTAATAACAATAGAGCGCCGAATTTATTGTACTGAAAATAAAGTAGTATTCCCATTTAATAAAACGAAGTTATCTACATTATCTGAAAACCGGTAAACTTGGCAACATTGTCGATATCATCATTGAATCGGGCATCATTAATTACCCATATGCAAAAAAATTCGTAATTCTATTTCAAGCCACTCTGGAAATATTTGACTGTTCCCAGACTTTCGAAACACACTGTATGTATAGAGGTGGATAGCTGGAAAATTTTCTCTGGAAAAAAACAAACTTCCAAGATTTCCTTTCAAAAAGTCCCAAGAAAAAAACTATTCCCGGAAATTGAAATCATCAATCCTTAAAAATAGAATAAAAGTCAAAATACTAGTTTTGTATTCAACGTAATGTATATTACTATATTGGATTTTTTAGCTCTGTGAAAGTTTAAATTATTGTCAAAAATCAAAGTTTGGAACATCAGCAGGATTGAATTCTCGCTTTTTAATACCAAAAATCAAAGTTTTGTATTTCTCTATTCAATTTTTGGAATTAAGAGCTCGAGAAATAGAAATTATTTGCGTTTTGAGTCCTGATAGGATTTTCATGCTTCTCCAATTGAAGTTATTCTCTACAAGGATCAAAAATGTCCTTCATAAATTCAGTTCTGCACGAGTTTGAATTCTGATTAAATTGAACTCATGACAGAATTCATTTTTCCAGTTCTGGATTGATCTCTATGAGAACTTGTTTTTTTTATTATTATTATAGGTTTAAGTAGCAGTAAGCGACAACGTCGATGATACTACTGTATTTTTATATCCTTGTTTTCACTGTTATGGGTCACATGTAATGCACAAAATTTAATTTAGCTTTTTCCGGGTACCGGTCAAATCTGTTTTTGAGTGCGTTCTTTGGAGGAGTACTGACTGACGTTTCACTCATAGACAACCCTATTCGTCAGAAAATTCTTTCTGATTAGCTTCCACAATCTCTCCTTATCCCAGCTTCTTAGTTGCTGGTCAGTATTCAGACTGAAAATGTCCAGTCACAAATCTGAAGAATAATGGTGATATAAGATTTTGGACGTCTCTCCCGTCTAGCTTTTAGGGTTGTTATGTTGTATCTCAGTAGTCTTTCTTCATATGAGAGATTTCTTATTTCAGGGGGAGTTATGTTACTCTACGCTGGACTCTTTCCAAGATCTCAATGTCCTTAACCAGGTATGGACTTCAAACCGACATCCTTGTAACCATAGGATTCACACGTTCGAACCTATTTTGGTTTGATAAACACAACAACGTTTGTGATATATTCGCTTAGAGTTGGAAAATGAAGCAGTTTTTTTCCAGGTATTTTGGCACCAAAAAAATGGCCAAACACCTGCCAAAAACTTGGCTTCACTTTAGTTTCATAAGCAGAATGTCGCGCTCCTACTTCTTATGTCCGTAGGACAGCGCTTTACCTGCTCTAAGTATATTCGAGTAAGTGACCTTCAACGTTCAACTTTGGTTAGACAGAGTTTAATGCCCATTTGCTCTCACTTGAAAGGTTCGGTTTTATAGAAAACTACCTATTCATCCGAGGAGCTCACCCCTGATTCCAAGGTATTGCAGTTTGAATAATAATCTCTTGAATGCCACATTGTCAAATGCCGTTTTATAGTCTAGGTACAGTACAGCCACCGGATGGTCACTCTGTCCACTTCTTTCGTCCATGAGTTTATGCAGATGTGTAGGTTGGTTGTGAGAGATCGTTGAGGAAGAAATCCATGTTCGGTGGGTGGGATGGTCTTGTTTTTAACAAGGAAAGATGTCATTTCCTGAACTATTATTTTTTCCATGATCTTGCATAGGTTACAGGTAAGCCTAACTGGTCTGTAATTTCCATTGCATTATTTAACCATGATTTTTTATGATTCACAAGCTTAGGTTTGAGAGGGATATAGGTTTCAAGTCATTGGTTTCAATGGTTTCCTTCGCCGCAAATTCACTGAATTCCATATTGTCAGTATTTGTGCCTGTAAGTCTGTTATTAATATGATTAATATAGACACGTGAGACTAGGATTCCTTGGTGAAACCATGTCTTGATAACCAGAATGAAAGTTGGGTTCTTTCTGAGCATGTCTGTCTGAAATTCATGGATTTTATTGTTTAGTGAGTTGGCATTTGTATAGTAAAATATAACTTCAGATATTATTGGGAATTTTTTTAACCGCTGTTAGTTAGCCGCCTTCAGCATTTGCCATGGTCTTTCTGGATTTGACGATCTTTGGGGTCTCATTATGATATTTGATTTTGATATTTACCTCACCCTTTGATATTCTCGTATAACCTTACCTAAGTAGGCTCTTTGTGCTTTAGTTTGGTCATATTTCAAATATTTCCCTGTTCCATCCAATTTACTCTTGAATCTGAGGACGGACAACGCATCTAGTTCCGTGTTGAAAATCCCTTTGTATGGCCTAACTTTTCCTGGTGTGAATTGACCAAGCCTAAATGTTTTAATATCCGCGAGAGGTGTATTAGGGTTCACCGACTTTATAGGATCTCTCACTGCCTTTATTTCCTTTTCCATTCTGCCTTCTCTTCTATTTGCCTTCACCTTTCTACACTATTTTTCCTGTATCTCATAGATGGCAGGTCCTACTTTGAGTTGGGATACAGTATCTGAATCCACAGTTGTTTTATCCTCCTTTTCAATTTCGTCAACTCTCTGTTTCACCGATGTTATCTCAGCGTAGCTCGGATTTTGATTAATCTGTTGCTGCAATTCTTGCATTTCACTGCTTTTAAAGCTGTTGTTTCTGCTTCCAACTCTTGCAACATTGTTTTTACCTCTTGAACCTGTGATGTATCTAGCTTCAATTTCTGGTATTATGTGTGTGAATGATGATAACGTTTTGACTGAGCCAGCACATACATCACAAAAAACCAGCATGTGTGGCAAGAATTATTACCCGTATTTCAGAGGAGGTAACATTGCGGCTTTTTTGCGGCAATCACACGGACAACCAAAGATCTCTACCGTTGGGGGCTTTTCCTTGATACCGATTCATTTTTTTCAAGCCTAGACCAGAAAAGATCATTTTTGTCAGTAAAACAGCTTCAGAATGGATTTTTAGCACTCATCCCCTTGAATCACCCTCAAAGTTATTTGTAGGTTAGGTAACCTAAACGGTGTATATTGGTACTTCCAGTACCATTTGTACCAGAGACTAGGGTAGAAATGTTCATATTTTCACAAAAACCCCTTGTTCCAGCCAGGAATAAGATTTTGACGCTTCTCAGATCACTTTATCAGTCAGTCTAGTCCAGGTCAGTTTGGTGGCTTTTCTAGCTCAATTGTGAGTCAGTGCAAACTCAATATTTTATACACAAATAAATTATAGTTTCAAGACTCTTTAAAATCTGGAAAATATTTAGAATCTCAAGTATTGTGACTATTAAACAGGGATTCATTAGCAGAACTACCTAGACATTTCATTTGGTATATGTTCCAATTTCCAAGAATTGAAAGGAAATTTCCTCTCACAAGTTTCCTAGAAATATTTTAATTATTCCTAGTCCAGGAATTGACTTATAAATTGCCACAGAATACAGATAAGTTCCTAGCAATTGGGAATTAAATCTTCCTTTTGAAATAATCTTGCTAAAAGCCGCTTGCCTGATTCTTCTTATTCATTTTGAATCAATTACTGTCATTCTTCTATTTTGGCTCAGTTTTTTTTTTTTGAAATATTCAACTAATTCTCTATTCATTGAATAACCAGTGTTGCCAACTGCTCTTTGCAAAATTACTGGCACAGAATTCCACCTTTACTGGCAATTACTGGCAAATAGAAAATGTCGAATTGAGGCCCTATTTTTAGGCGATTTCAAGTCAGACACAAGTCTTGACTCCTTTTGTATTAACATTTTAAAAACAGAAATGATGACGTTAAGTTTTAAGACAATGGCTTAAGCATGGGTATCTCTCTCTCTAGTGACCAGAATATGAATTTGTGTTTATCATATCCTGAAACTTCAAAAATTGTCATCCAAATCAGCTTGAGCATGCAATATAACGTGATCATTATTATAATATACATATAAGGCGCTGTCTTTTTCCCATCGATCTCTCCAACATTATCAGTCAGTTATTCCAAATTCCTACGTACTAGACAAAGATAAAATGCTCATCGGTGAAAAAAAGAAATAATGCATAAGAAAAGTACTGAAATGTGATGAAATATTTCAACTACTGGCATCAAGACTTTACTGGCAACACGTTTTTTTACTGGCAAATGCCAGTAATTACTGGCAGTTTGGCATCCCTGTGAATAACTATTCAGGGTTTTCCCTCATTTGAATTGAAATTATCGCCCTAACTAACAAATCCAATAAACTTACCAGAACCACTACCACTGGTAGTCATTTCAATCATGTGCTTCAAACTGACCCCCTTGTTGAGTATAGGATGATCGGGGGCCTCAATACTATCGTCGCCGTGCCTCAAATGATGATGCAAGCCCCGCTTTTTGTGATTCGCAGTTTTGAGGTAGTAGTATACAATCACGACCAGACAACCGATCAAAGTGGGCACCATTATGCACATCGCTATTTCCAACGAGGTAAGGTAAGAACCACGAGGAGCTAATAAAATAATCATAATTTAATAATAATCAATTGATTTTGATTTTGAAGCAAACACAAAAACCAAAAAGCTAAGCTGAAGCGTTCAAAGCATGCATAGGGATATACGAATACATTACATTAGTTATCAAAAAATCTTCATTTTAATTACTCTTTTTTGGAACCTGAAATGTAAAAGTTGTTTTTTCATGCTTCACCCCCCTTGTAGACAGAAACGACAAATAAATGAAGTTGTGAGGACAAAATTTTACCCCAATGACAATGATCCAAAGCCCATCGAAATTAATCTAACCTTCGAACACTGTCATTGAAATGGTGTTGAGAGGCAAAGGGGCCTCGTTACAATAATTTCTATCCCTACAACAAGCGGTTATCGAAAAAGCGTCTTCGCCGTAATCGTGTTTAGTTTCGTTGCAGTATTCAGTTTGGCGACCTGCGGCGTCAATCAGAGGAGGAAACTTGTCGAAACATCTATAAAAATAATAATATTTGCTAACTAAACTGGGATTATTTTATAAATAATAATTCCTCTCTGTGAATAAAAAACATATTAATTTGCTAAATACGTGTGTCAACTACTACCACCAACTCGTTGTTTTTGCTTTAATAGCAGCGTATAGTTAAAAACAGGCCAGCTAACGAAGAAATCTATATACAAAAGAAAAATTCTGTAAGTGCTACCAGGAAGAAAATAAAATATAGAAAAAGCATTTTTAGTATAATAGATAAATTATAACTACAGCCATCAACCTTTGGGTTTTGTCGAAAATTACCTGTAGGCCCTCTCGATAGCATCGGCCTCAAGTGGACGTTGCAAAAGTCGACGCTCTTGCAACATTCCAGCAGGAAAGTGCTGTTGAGCTGGTTCTGAGGCGTGTGACAAAACATCGGGTTGTTCGATGGCAGTCCGAGTTCCTTGTCCAGGCATCTGAGGCGGTTTTTGAGGGTGGTAATAATTTTTTTAAATTTAATTTATAGCGATTTTGTGGTAGAGCCAGCCAATTGGGAGTTTTAGGATGAATTTTAGGGCAAAATATAAAAATAATGGCGAATAGATACCTACTAATACCGGTTTCAATTGAAATAATTTGATTTAAATAATAAGTTCATTAGGAGGTTTTTCTAGGATTCCAGTGAAGATAGTGCATAGATGCAATATTGAAATTCAGTGAAAATTTCAGCTTTCTATCTATAATAGTAAAAAATTATGACCTTCCAAAGTTTTCCATAATCTAAATCATAGGGTACTAAGGTAGGTACCTTCTTACTAAAACGATGAAATTTCAAAAATTTTTTTGTTGAGATTTTGTGTCCTAATGGTCCCTCGTGATACCCTGAACTCCCTACACTAAATTATTCCAAGATTTGGAGCCGAAATCTATGAAAAAAGGAACTCAGAAAAATTGAAAAATTGATAAATCACCCCAAATTGCTTAACACGATTTTATCTCAGGAACTATAAGTGCAAATGAGCTGAAACTTTCAGGGATTGTAGTCCTTTGAATGGGATAAAATTCAGTGAAAGTCTCAGCTTTCTATCTATAATAGAATAAAAGTTATGACCTTTCAAAGGTTTCCAAAATCTAAATCATAAGGTAGGTACCTTCTTACTAAAACGATGAAATTTCAAAATTTTTTTTGTTGAGATTTTGTGTCCTAATGGTCCCTCGTGATACCCTGAACTCCCTACACTAAATTATTCCAAGATTTGGAGCCGAAATCTATGAAAAAAGGAACTCAGAAAAATTGAAAAATTGATAAATCACCCCAAATTGCTTAACACGATTTTATCTCAGGAACTATAAGTGCAAATGAGCTGAAATTTTCAGGGATTGTAGTCCTTTGAAAGGGATAAAATTCAGTGAAAGTCTCAGCTTTCTATCTATAATAGAATAAAAGTTATGACCTTTCAAAGGTTTCCAAAATCTAAATCATAAGGTAGGTACCTTCTTACTAAAACGATGAAATTTCAAAAAAAAAATTGTTGAGATTTTGTGTCCTAATGGTCCCTCGTGATACCCTGAACTCCATAAACTAAATTATTCCAAGATTTGGAGCCGAAATCTATAAAAAAAGGCACTCAGAAAAATTGAAAAATTGATAAATCACCCCAAATTGCTTAACACGATTTTATCTCAGGAACTATAAGTGCAAATGAGCTGAAGTTTTCAGGGATTGTAGTCCCTTTAGTGGGATGAAATCCAGTGGAAATTTCAGCTTTCAAAGTTTCAATTTTGAGGCTTAACATCTCAAAGACTATTCGAGATAAATGATTCAATTTTATTTTATCTTAAAGAGCATTTAATTCTGATTAAGGATATATTTAATATGTATTAGAATTTGTGAAATATTAATGCAGTTATTTATGAAGCAATGTCGGATAATCAAAATTTTTCAGGGCCAAAAATGCAAAACTTTGTACCTACATAACATAGTTTACATTACTGTGATACAAATTTCACATCTACTTGAGCATAACTTTATACTTTACATTTCATTTGAGTTAAATTTAACCTTCCTCTAAATATATCAATAGAAAAAGCCAAAATTAAGCAGTTTCAAGACACATTATGAACCTTCAATAAGTTTGTTTCATAATGGATTCCAGAATTGGATTCTTTCCAAGTTCAACTACGTAAAAATTGCTGTATTATGGCACCATATTTGGCCCCACAACACGTTTCCAGACCACTTTTCATTTTTCCTGGCTTGGTTTTCCAGTTTCTCAGCCTAAAACCTGGATCTGGCGTTTCATTTTGACCTCGAGAATGCACATTTGCATATTTTCCAGAAATGGCAATGTGTTAATTGGCAAAGTGAAAGTTTCAAAAAGAAATGTTAATTAGCTTGCTTATAAAGTATATAAAAAAAAACACAAAATCAATCCGGGCATCAAAACAAAAATAAAAGTAGGTATTCAAAATCTATTAGTTTCTGGGTTAATCAATGGGTTTTTTTATATCAATTTTTTTTTGGGAAATGGGGGGGGGTGGGGGGGTGTCAAAAAAACACTCAACCTCGTTACCTTGACCGTCCCTCGCCGTACCATCCACGTTACAAAAGTCAGTGTCCGAACAACAGGACATGTCAGGTGACTTACAGGCCACTGGCAGTACAGATTCGGGTGGAAAAAATGCTGACTTATTTAGACAGTCTTGTCTTTAGAAAAAAAGAGAATATTGTGGTGGGTTTGTAATAAATAGAAAATACCTATTAAAGTAAAAGGAGAATCAATTTTGAGGATAGTTTGAAAGGAAAATCAGGGTGACTGGCAATACCAATTAAAAGTGAGGAATAATTTATTTTATTTTGAGGAATATGAATTTTAAATCCTATGACAATTTAATAATAATAAAACACATCGAGTATTTTGTTTATTTCGTCATCAAAATGTTGCACAATCCACAAAACAACACTTACCGGTAATTGTAAATCAGCTCTTCCGAGTTCTTTTTCTTTTGCACTGATGTGAAACAGTATCCGTCTGTCTCGCAGGTGTAATTTTTGGTTTTGCATAGGTCGCACTTGCATTTCAATGACGACACGTCTAGAACATCAAAAAGAAAGTTTTCTAGAAACTAATCAATCTAGAAATATTTTAAGCTGTTATTGAAGTTCTAGTGAAGGGATTCAATTCAAGTTTTATATATTTTTATTGTGTATATGATATGTTTCGTCAAATGTTTGGTTTAGATAGTTTTGGCAGATTTCTTGAGGGTCTTGAAGGGGTAGCCTTGGGAAATATAGATATAGATATAGATATTATGATTGTAGGTGATTTTAATTTGCCCTATTTTGGCTCTAGTACCAACTGTGATAGATCATTACTTTTAAATCAAATGCTAAATATATGTAATCTCAAACAGTGTAACATTATACCCAATTTGATGAATAGAAAGTAAGATCTAGCATTGACTAATTTGAATACTTTGGAGTGTAGGAGATACGAATGTCCCCTGGTAAAGGACAACTATCATCCTGCCCTGGACTTGTCTGTGAAGCTAAAAAATCACTCCTTTGCTGATAGTCAAATCCATTCATCATACATTTATGACTATGCACTTGCTGACTTTGTTATGTTGTATAATCTGTTTAAATCCACTAACTGGAAAGATCTCATGCAGAGGGATCAACATTTGTATTGACACATTTTATGAAAATCTAAGGTTTGCACAGACGAGTATCTAGGGACAGGACCAACTTGTTGCGGAATCAGTATCGTGACCTTAGGCGAGCTGACAGGCAACAGACCAGAAGTGAGTATGAAGCATACTATGTGTTGAAAATAATGTGAATCATGATCCAAACACTTTTTGGACATTTGCCAAATCTAGAAGTCTCTCAGAAGGGATCTCCTCAGAAATCATTACTTAGGAATAGTATTACCGAGAGTATTACTTATAGGGAACCCAATGACATTGCAAATGCATTTGCAGTGTATTTTAGAACAGTTTATCAGCCCAATAGTAGAGAAAAAATAGAAAATTTTAGACCCATCAGTATTTTTAATTCATTGGCAAAAATATTTGAGACCGTATTATATGATAATATTATGGAGAATTTTAAATACAAATTTGTTCGTCAACAGCATGGTTTTTTGCCTGACAGACCAACAGTAAGTATGTAATTTGATGGTATTTAGTGGTGTGGTGGCAGAGGCAATTAATAATAGAGGTCAGCTGGATGTTATTATATAACTGATTGTTCCAAGGCATTCGACAAGGTAGATCATGGTATACTTTTGAATAATATGGCAAATCTTGTTTTTTCAAGGAAGGCATTGTTGTTTATGATGTCATATTTAGAGAATAGATTCCAGCAGGTCAGAGTGGGAGAGTTCTTGTCACGAGATTTTGGCTATATCAGGGGTTCCCCAGGGAAGTAATCTGGGCCCTCCTCTTGCATGCATAGTTAATTCATCCAGTTTGATCTTTGCTGATGACTTTAAAATGTTCAAAACCATAGGTTCGCTAAATGATGTATCCTGTTGCAGAATGATCTCATAGAAGTCTGTGAGTGGTTCCGGGCCAACAAAATGTACCTGAACATAGATAAGTGCGCTGTGATAACCTTTACCCGTAAAGTTAATTATTTAAGTTCTGACTATTTTATTAACGACAAAAAACTTGAGAGAAGGGCGGAATACAGTGATCTTGGAGTATTGTTTCAGTCCAATTTTAAATTTAACGACCATTATAATAATATTGTAAATAAAGCATAGGTATAAAGTTCTAGGTTTTTTTTTTTTTTTTAGAAATTCTTTATTTCTGACCCCTAAACAGTAACAAAATACTGGCAACAGGGCCTACATTTAATTTTATAGAAATACATTAACTTAATAAATATAGAGTTCCTGATTTAACAATAATTAGTTTATTCTGTTCCTTTAATGTAGTTTTTGAGGTTACGGCACATTAGTCTATAATTCTGCACATTTTTGATATCTGTTGGAGTTTTATTGTATGTTTGTACACTTCTGTATATGGGAGAATCTTGCATTGTTTTAGTCCTTGAAAATTTATTTGCTATGTATTCTTTTTGTCGCGTATTATGTGTATGATAGTTTTGTCTTTGGGTTAATGCTGTATTTGATTTTATTAGTTAATTTTTTATTGAGTATATGAGTTTCATTTGTTCAATTTTTTTCAATTTGTCTATATTTGTGATTTTTGTATTATGTCAACACTGGGAGTATATCGATCCATAAGATATATGGTTTTCACAGCTTTATTTTGTATTCTTTGCAGTTTCTCGAGTTGGTATTTTAGAGTGTTTCCTCAGCAAGGCAGAAGATACCTTAAAGGAGGTTCTATGAAACTGTTATAGAGAAATTGTCTTGCACTGTTATTCAATAGATGTGAGCACCTTTTTATTGCTCCTAACATTGGTGATATTTTTTTAATGGTGTTATCAATATGGGCAGACCAGCTGAGATTGTTTGTGAGAATCAGGCCCAAATATTTATATTGCTTTGTCTCCTTCAGTTGCACACTATTCAGAACCACTTCCATATCACACCTCTTTCGCCCTATTTGCATATACTCAGTCTTATCTACATTAATTGTTAATTTATTATAGCACAGCCACTTATGATACAAATTTAGGTCACTGTTTATTACTCTTTCAAGTTCCTTGGGGTTTTCTCCCGAGAAAGCGAGTATAGTAGTGTCATCAACAAACATGAAATATTTTGATTTTAGTAGAAGATATTGTAAGCTGTGTACATAGAGGAGGTACTGGATAGGTCCAAGCACTGAGCCCTGGGCTACACCGACTTTAAATTTTACTTTGTCACTTTTGCAGTCATTTATTTCAGTATAATATTCTCGATCGGTAGAGTATGATTGTAATAGGTTTAAACACACACCATGAAATCCCATTTTACATAGTTTTTTTTTCATGAGTTCAGTATCAACTGTGCCAAACGCCTTCTGCAAATCAACAAATACCAAAACAACATGTCTACCCCTATCCAACTCTCGCTTAACATACTCTACAAGATCCAGTGTGGCACTCAAAGTGTTGCTTTGTTTTTGGAAACCGTATTGTTGTTTGTCAAATTGAAAAGTCTCTTTGATGTGTTTAATTACCCTTTTCTTTATGATTTTTTCTACAATCTTGGAGAAGGTGCTTAGTAAGGAAATTGGGCGGTAATTGTTCACATCACTATTTGGTCCTTTTTTGTGTACTGGAATTATTTCAGCTACTTTTAGTTCCTTTGGATATTTTCCACTCTCAAGTACTGTATTTACTAAATTTACTAGGATTTTGCCAATCACATCAAATAGCGTTAAAATGTCTGTTTTTGTCAATTGATCTTCACCGGGAGCACTATTATTTTTTAGCTCACTAACTATGTCCTTTATTTCCTTCAAATCTGTTTTTTCCCCATTTTTCTAGTATCTGTTTTGCTTCTGCTTCCACAAAATTGTAGTTGTTTTTTTTTAATTATTTCAGCTAAAGATGGTCCTACATTAGAAAAATGTTTAATAAATTCTTGTGCTATTTTTCTGTCGTCTGTGATTCTTTTTGTGTCAGTTTCAATAATTTTTATTTTCTGTGAGTTATTCTTTTTTTTTTGTTACATAGTTTATTCAATACCTCCCATGTTTTCCTTGAATTACCATTTGCTTCCTTTATTTTTTTTTCCGTGTAGTCTTTTTGTAACTTTTTTCTCAAGTTATTCAATTCATTTTTAGCTTTTTTAAACTCTTTTTCTGTATATTCATTTTGTATTTGTGTCCATCTCCTATATATCCTGCCCCTAGATTTTAGTTTGTCTAAATATTCAGTGGTTATCCAATTGTTGTTTTTTCCTATCTTAACAGTATAGTTTTTACTGCACTCTAGTCTTGTTTTATTCAGAATTTCAGAAAGTTGTACAAATGATTCAATAGGTTGTGTTGTATCTATTTTCTCTTTCACGCTCATGATCCATTTTTGTTTATCAAATTTAGTTTTTGTTATTTTTTCTCTCGTTTTATCATAAGAAATTCTAAATATTTTATTAATTTGAACACCATTGTTAGGTTATATAACACACTAATGAAACCACATTTAGAATATGCTTGCGTAATATGGGCACCTCAAGCTGAATCTAACATCAACTTTATTGAGAAAGTACAAAAAAAGTTTTTAAGATACCTGTATGTCCGTAAACATAGTACCTATCCATATATGGTCATGGTCCAATATAATGTTATGCTACAAGGTTTTGATTTTGCAACATTAGAGCACAGAAGGAAAATACAAGCTGTGATATTCGTATATTATGTTATTAACAATGTAAAATATAGATATTTGTCATTGATAGATTATGTAAAACTATTAGTACCTAAGCTAAATCTGAGACTCATTAATCTTAAAAAAAAATTGTGTAAATCCAGGGGATTGTTCGCCTTTCAATAATATGCTGAACCAGTGCAATTTAGCAGTGTCAAAAACTAATATTGACCTATTTGCAGCCAGTTTGAGTGAGATAAAATCTAGTCTAAGTGAGTTCTAAAACAGCATTGTCTTTGTTGTTTTCCTATTGTAAGTTTTTAGTTAAAGGGCTATTGTATATTGCACTCTTGTCTCTTGCATGTAATTACTTGTTCTTCTATGGACACAGTGTTTGTAGGAAGTATCCTAAATAAATAAATAAAAATAAAAGATCGGATTGAAATTACCAAAGTACTTAATGAGGTTTGCAAGAAAAAGAAAACAAAGAAATTTATGAGACTGGAATAAACAAAAAATGAGTGCTTAATAATGAATAAATAAATATCTAATATGTAATTTTTATTCAAAGTAGGATAAATTAAACTAATTAAACATACATAAAAATACCTGAAATTCAAATACATGAAAAAAACAAAAAATAAATAGGTAGGTGAGTATAGATAAATAGAGTGAAAAGGTCAGAAAAAAATCAATAAATGAGTACCTAAAGACAAAAATTACAAATAAAGAATTACAAAAAAGAAATCCTAATTTGATTCCTAATTTACAACTATTGTTTTTAAATTCTGTATCTTCCCCTACAAAAT